CCTATTTATTAAAAATCCGCTTTTATATTTTTCCGGAAAAGTGTTTCGGATTTGAAACGAAAACATTTGATCTTAGAATTCCATTTGTTTGTTTGGATTATTGGAAACAGGGTGTCTAGCATTCAACAGAGAGTACATAAAAAATTATACACTTGTAAAAAAAACCATTATATGATTGCCTGAAAGGCGTATCAAAAAGGAGTATAAATGAATTACTCATACCGAACAAACCAAAGGGCTTTCAACCAATTGACCAGAAAAATGACAAAGCAGACAATTCGAGCACGGCCAGATTTCACAAGCGCTTTTATTTTGGTTATAGATGTTTTTAAAGTAGGGATGGGCGCAATTCTAGCACAAGAAGATACGGTGGGGAAAATTAAAATGATATTTGCGTTTTCAAAAAACCACGACAATCATCAAAAAACCATTCGTCTCAGGCAAGGAACTTTTAGCGGTAATAAAAAGCATCGTTTATTATCCCCGCCATCTTTTGGAAAAAGAATTCACCTAAAGAACCGACCATAAAGCCCTTTCATACTTATGGGAATGCAAAAAAACCACATCGAGACTGCTAAGATAAGCTATGAAACTGCAAGAATATAAGTTTACAATCGAATACATTAAAAGAGGAAATAAAACACAGACGGTTTCTCAAGAATAAATTATATCCGAATATACCGGAAAGTACTAGATCCAATCACAGAAGAGAACAAACAAAAAAACCTACAGGAATATCGCATAGCACCCGGTAACGGCTCATTTGGGGACATAAAAGCAGCACTGAAATTTTAATATAACTGGGTAAGTATGTAAACCTTGCCGTATTTGTAAGAAAGCAGGACATCAAGAAAAAAAAACACAAAATAAAGTAATAAGTACAAATCAGCCTAGCGATCCTTGGGAAATTGATTAAATTGGTAAACTAGAAAATCGAGGACAAAACAAATACATTATATTTAAGATCATCACACCAAGTGTATAAAAACAAAAGTGGTTGGTTTATAGTAAGAAATCGTCTGTAGAGCAATAGAAGAACTGATTATTAATAAAATGGTACGCCCAACCGAATAAATTCTGATTGCGGGCTAGAATTTTATAACAAGGTAATCCTGGGGTTTGCAAATAAAAAAGGAATAAAGTGTGAATTTGCTTCGCCCCTTTACCACAAAACTACGGGAGCAGTTGAAAGAGTCATACAAACACTCCTGATTAAGATTTAAAAACCGTCGAATTTGGCAAGAATGGATGGATAAAAAATGTTGAAGCCGGCACTATGGCGATAAATCTATCTTATAATAGAGCCATCGGAACCTCTCTGTTTGTGTATAAAAAACTAAGATTACCAGAAATGAACATTTATAAAAAGGTAAACCAACACAGGATTTTAGTTACAAAGAGGTGGGTTAAAACAATCGAGAAAGAAAAATGTCTAACTATAGGAAACAAATTACAAAAGGAAATATGGATATTAAAAAAAATATAAAATACGGGCAAGAGTGTTGATATTTACGCTTCCACAGACCAAATTAGATGCCAATTGGCATAAAGGTTATACGATTAGTAAAAGTATATCAGACGATGCTTACATTGCCAAAAATAATAATAAGGAAATAAGAGGTGATAAAAGACACATAAGAGGAAATGGGTAGAAGAAGATGTCGTACATTCATTTATTTGCTATATTTTTAACTCCAAGCTATCATATCCGAAACAAGCAAAATAAACAATATTAACGTCAATAATGTTGTAGAAATAGACGAAAGTAAGTTCGGAAAGCGAAAATATAATAGAGGTTAAGGAGCTGAGGATTTGTGGGTATTTGGGGCAGTAGATTGAGTTGGCTGAAAGATTTTAGTAACGCCTGTTAGATTGCGCAATATGTGTTGACGCCGCAAGATATTATTTTAGGTATATTAAAGTTGATACAATAACTTATTCGGATTGTTGGAAAAGTTATAGTGATTTAGGTAAATATTTTACAAAACATATAACTGTAAATCATTCAAAAGAGCTTGTAAATACTGCAAACAGCGCGTAAGTACAAACAAATACTATTGAGGGAAATTAGAGAGGTAGGAAAAGGAATATTTTTACAAGTGTAGAATTTTATCTTCAATTCGATTATATTTACTTAGATTTGTGTTGATGCGTAATTAAAATCAAAATAAACTCCTAAAGCTCGCGAAACTAAGTCTTGAATACGATTTTTGATAAAAAATTCAACTTATTATTTTGTTTTTTGACTTTTTTAAAAAAACGAGGGAAAAAATTGTTTTTGCGGGTCATAAAAAACATGTTCTTCTGGGTAAATTTCCGCCAAAAAATGCAAAAAAACTAATTTGTTTCTGCTTGGCCCGGGCAGCAAAACAAACCGGGTCCCATTATTCAATGGTTTAAATTAGTTCATAAAATTAAAATTAATGTACAAAAATATTGTATTGTGCTTACAGAAATAAATTCAAAACTTGTGCTATTCTTTTTCAATAAAAAATACAAAGAATTTTACAAATTTAATAAAAAGAAGGGTTTAAAATTAAATCAAAATTTCCCTTATCTTTTTATACTGTACAAGATGATGCACCTTGCCATCGAGCTCGTGCAACTAAGATATGGTTTGAAAACAATAATATTGATTGTATGAACTGGTTACCATTAAGTCCAGATCTTAATCCTGTTAAAAATTTATGGACAGATTTATCGAGAATGATTTATAGAGACGGGAAACAATATAATAATATTTAAGATTTACATTCTGCGATATTAGTAACCTGATTAAGTATTGCGCCCGAGAATTTGATAAAATATGTCAATGGAATGCAGAAGCGTATGATCGACGAGCTTAAAATGGCTTTACTGGGCAGATTTTACAGGGGGCCAAAAAAATTATTTTTAGCCCTTTTTTAAAAATGAGAAGAATTTTGATGACAAACGAAGAAATACAAAATTTGTATTTTCAAGTAAAATCGTTAAAACAAAAGCAAAAATGTTTTTTCTTGTTCATCTGACACTCGAATAAAATGCCCGATGGCTCTATTTGCGATGCAAACGGAAAAGGTGCAGATTGTTATTTACTATCTGGAAAAACTCTTTTTTCGAACACGCACATCTTGACTATATTTTATTGCTTGAAATAATTAATTTGGGGTTTACAGGGGCTTCTTATGGTCTAATGGCGCACATATTAGGCTGCAGTAAACAAAATATAGTCAATACAATAAATAAACTGCAGATTTTTAATATATATGAACGATATCTTAAAAACGCAAAACAAGTTGGAGGAAACAATATTGTTGTAGAAATCGATAAATCAAAAATAGGAAAGAATAAATGTAACAGGGGAAAGTCTGTAAAAGGGGTTTGGTGTTTTGGAATGGTAGAACGTACTGCCGATAAAAAAATAATTTTCTCTCTTATTAAAAAACGTGACAAGCAGACCTTATTCCTTTATTATTTAAAAACGTTAATTTTAAATAAAAAATATACTCAGACATGTGGAAAGCTTATTTTAATTAGGGTTACATTTTAAAGACACTATATGGTAAATAATTCAGCAACTTTTAGAGACCAAGAAATGGGTGTTCATACTAACACAATAGAGGTTCATCAAAAGCCTCTATACCTAAAAGGTGCAGGACAGAAAAACTTGCTCCTTTATTTCTTTTTAGATATATGATTATTAGAAATGAAACTCAATTATCACTAAAATTCTTAATAAAATATCAAATTATGTTTGTTATTGTTATATACTTGCACATAACAACCAACCACAATTCTTTGCTAGCATTCTGACAAATGAATTATTATGAAACCAATTGTTTTCTTTAGACTAAAAGGAGGTTTAATCAATACCCCTTTAAAACTATAAATACAAAAAAAATTATAAAAACATGGAATTAATAAATACTTTTTTTTAATCGAATATTATTTAAAAAACAACACAATTCCAGCAAGTTCTGGCAGTTATTTTTTTAAATTTATGTCTTTTTGCAGGTTGTCTTCTGCAATAAAAATTTAAAAAGAAGAGCTAAAAATAATTTTTTTTGCCACCGTAAAATCCGCCTAGTAAAGCCATTTTAAGCCGATCGACGTTGTTAAAGGAAGGGGTGATAAAATCAATTAATAATTTTTCTTTTTTTAAATTACTTATTTTTTTAAAAAAATTTCAAAACCATCATGTCCATGAGGCTCATTGAAAAAATTTAAATTCACTTTTTTTAATAAAAAACAATAAATAATAGATATTATTATTTTAAGCATGTGTTTGTATTTTAAAATTTGAGTTAAATGAGACGTCCCGTTTAATTGTACGACTAGTTATTTTTTGTAAGCGTTTTGTAGTAGCTTAGATTAGAAAAATAAGATAAGGCAGTAGTTTTTTGTAACAAAATAAAACAAATGTAGTAATTACAATTCTATAAAACGTGTTTTTAAAGGGAGAGTGTCTTAGGATTTTGACGCGCCTCTTAAGACAAAAAAATCCAAAAACCAGATTAGACATATATAAAGTAAGATTAAATAAAAGGTATTTTTAATCTCATTTTAATTACAACTTTTAAACACGAATAATGGTTTTAGAATTATACCTTATTTGATTTTGCACGGAAAAATTTTTTTTTTGGGAGTCTTAAGATTTTGACGAGCACTGTATATAGATGACAGTTTACCTATCCCTTTTTTAACGTAATCACAAATATAATGTGTGTTCTTTTTTTTTAATAAATATGATGGGCTTTTGAGTATAAACTTGTTATTTTAAATACAAAACAACTTTTTTTATTATAAATTAAAATTTGCTATAAACACCTTGTATAAGATTAGTATAACTAACTAAAAGCAAGGGGAAATGCACAAAAACACCGTTTCGTGCTTAGAATTAAATTCTAAACAATGGCTACTCGTTCTTAATAAAAAATGCAAAGGATCTAACAAAATTAAAAAAAAAGGGTTAAAAAGTAAATAAATATTCAGATTCAAACTTTTTTAAGTATAGATAACTTACGCCATCCCGTTTAAAACGGGAGCATAAATTTAATGTGTGTTCTTTCTTTTTAATGGATTTAATGCGTCTTTATGCGTATACTTATTATTTTTGCAGACAAAATGACTTTTTTTTATTATACATTTAAATTGGCTATAGACACCCATATACAATTTAAAAAATTAAATTAAAACAAAGAAAAATGAAGGAAAACGCCGTTATGCGCTTAGAGAAATAAACCTTACACTTATGTGCTCTTATTTAAAATATACAAAGAATTTTACAAAGTTATAAAAAGAAGGGCTAAAAAATAAAAAAATATTCAGATTCAAACTTTTTATATATATAGACTAGCTTGCGCCGTTCCGTTTAAAACGGGATTATAAAAACGATATATTTATATTTTTCGTTGTTTAACATGTCTTTAGGCTTGTTGCCATTGTTTAAAGTACAAAATGTCTTACATTGTAAAGTAAAATTTGCAATAGTCACCATTTTGCAATTACAAAAAAAATTGAAAAAATCCAAGAAAAATACACAAAATCCCGCAACTTTCTTTTAGTAACAATTCTATAAAAATCTCTAAGCTGTATTTTAGTACTTTTGAATAAAAAATTAAAACAGAATTTCACAATTTTAAAAAAAGAAGGGTTAAAAAATAAATGTTCAGATTCAAACTTTTTATATATATTGATGATGATGATAGCTACTGCTTTTCCGTTTTAAACGGGATTATAAATACAATATGCTCTTTTTCTCAATCTGCGTTGTGTCTTTGGGCTTGCATGTACTGTTCAAAAGTATAAAATGCAATATTGTCAATGATTAGATTTTGCAATAGTCATTATTCTATGGTATAAATTATTTGAATAAAATAAAAGAAAATTCACAAAAATATTGTGCTGTTGTGGTATTAATTCCACATGAGGTGTTTTCTATTTTCTGAATTTTCTTGAAGAAATTTTAGTATAAAAATATTTTATGAAAAGAAGGACATCGCTGTCATGAATAACTCACACAATCATCAACGCAAGAGAATCATAGGATCAACGGGGGATCTCACAAGAGCACAATTCTCCATGAAGTTAATAAACCATTTAAGTTACACCAATTTAGTTTGGCTTCAGGAGCGAGCATTGTGGAGAACTTTCTTAGTTCTGGTCGCCTTCCTGCGTTTCTCGCCACAGATAACCAGACGATTTAATAGAACTATTAGAAAAGAATAAATAAATGAGAACAATCAAGGAAACTTGAAGATAGAGTAAAAAAGGCGGTAAAAGTTTATAATCCTTAAGACACTGTAATCTCAATTTGAGGCCAGAAGAAGCTAGACAAGAGATTAATAAAATTAAAGTTAAACAGATGCAATTTAAAAATGCCTTAAAGTATTATCAGAAAAGAAATAGAGATGAAAGAACTATTTGGCACAAAATAGGCGAGCCTTGGCTTATAAAAAATGAACTAAACAAATTTAAAAATCAACACAAATTTGATAAATATGGAAGAATAGAAGAGGATCTTTGCAAAGACATTTAAAAGTAAAACTAAGTAATTGAAAAGTTATTAAAAGGCATAGTAATCAGTTTGGGCAGGAATAAAAAAGGGTTCTTGATTTGATAGAACTGTTGCAGATAAATATTTTAAATAAATATTCCTTAACTTTTAAATCACTACAAAATAAAAAACATTATGCAATAAAGATATTTAGAGATATGTTTTTACGTTGGAAATGCCGGTTACATAATGGGATATTTGCGGGGAATGCGGCAAATGGCGAGGTACCTCTCTAAAATGCTCACCGTTTTGGCGTCTATTTCGCCCAATTCTTAAAATAATTTTGTTTTTATTATATAAAGATTTATTTGAGTGCTTGCTGATTATACTTCTTGTTTTGTTTTCCTTTTGCATGTTTATGAGAATTTTCCTATTTATAATAGTTTTTTAGAAATATTTTAACCAATGAAAACTCAATAATAATTGTCACAAGAAAGCGACCCATTTTTATATGTAAAAAATTGTGACAAAAAGGTTCTTCAAAAATTATCTTTAACAATTGGTTATTAAAAAAATGCATATGGTAAGATTTCTTTAGAGGCTTGCCTACCTTTTTTTCAATGATAAAAATAGGGGACAAAAATTATTTTAAACTATAAAATAGCAACTTGGATGATTGGTAGGCAAACTTCTAAAGATAAGCAACATCCCCATTTTTGATATATATCGACATGGTTTTAGATCATAAACATCCAATTTGCAAGCCTTCTTTTTCTAATCTTCCTATCTAATCTATCTATTTACCTATCACTCTTTAAATTCTCCCTATCAATTATTATATATCAAATAAACATTAGTTCAAAAAAAATTTTAAGGAAATTTACTTATTTTCAGAGAAATTATAAGGGATTTAAAAAGTTTGTAAAAATTTTTGTTTTTTGCCCTTTTATAAGGGTAAAAATTGACAATAAAATATTTACAGACATTGTTGAATTACGAAACTTTTCTTCTTGAAAGAAATATAATTTCTCAAAATAATGCTTGTATTAACTGCAACGCATTGTGCAACCTACTGCCTGTAAGTAGTACAACTAAACTTTTGGCATATAGATGTTCTAGGAAAGGTTGTTCAAAAAGATATTCGCTTTTTCAGGCCAATATTCCATTATGTAAAATTGTACACTTAATTTATTCCCTAATTTTTGACATAAATTATTTTTAGTTGCGACATTTTTTTTTCTTCTCTGATGCAACGATTGCAAAGTATAAGTCTTTGCTTTTCGTATGTTACAAAGAATATCTTGAAGTAAATCCTGTTTTGCTTGGTGGCGCAGGTATAATAGTTGCGGTAGATGAAGGTGTACTGTCTCGTCGAGGAATTATAAGAATCCTACCAGTACTGATGACACTAGAGATTCAATATGAATTTTAAGAAGACTAGACAGGACAGACGAGAGCAACTTATTATAATTCGTGTTTTAGGTGAACTAATGTATTAATAACAGATGCACTGTCCCCGCTTATTACAAATGATAGCCTATTATATATATTGATGGTCATCCCTCATATCTGGCTGTATCAAGAAATTAAAAAGTTTAGGACACAATATTGTTAATCATTCTGTTGGTTTAGAGTCATTGATGACGCCCGTACCAATAATATAGAAGGATTTGGGGGCCACACGAAAGTAACGATGAAGAAAGAAAATGGTGTTTATAGAGACAACATTGATGGGTGGCTAACCTAATATACATTTAAATGTAGATACATATTAGGAAAAAGTATTGAAGATATGGCAGATATTTATGTAATAATTTTAACGCTCTTTTTTAAACTAAATCATTAAAATATTTATTTTTTCGTCCTTATAAAAAAATTTTAAATAGGCAGATATCTAAAGAAGACTCCATGTGGTTATTGACAATAATACCACACATAATTTAAATTTTTATTGTCAAAAGTTTTACTAGAAAATTTTTTTATTTCGCTCTATTGTAACCTCTGGTGAGGTGTTCAAACTTAATTAAATGCTGCTCTATTTAAGAATCAATAAATAATCTTTTTTTATTTATTGCTTTAGTGTTATTCTCTTGATGAGGCATCTTTTTACCATTGTAAAAATGTTGTTACAAGTCTTTTGATTGTAATAAAACTTTCCTTTTCATTTCTTAATTTTGTATTTCCCTTTTAGTATTTTTTTAGTTATAAATAAGTTTATTAAAATTTTTAAGGAGCAATCATTAAAAATGTACTGGAAACCACATGCTTATTACAAATTTAAAGGCATGATGATAATGATAAACCTAAACCAGCCTTAAATTATTAAAAAATCGCTTTAAAATTGTCGTTACCCTATACAGGTCCCGAAGTTTAAATAACTTTTTTGCCACCAGAAGGCTAGCCATAATGTGATATTGATTTGGCAAAACAAAAATAACTAATTTTAGTAATCATTTATGATTTATTTAAAACTTCTTAAATATTTTTCTATTGATTTAAAACAGAAAAATGCAGATCATTCTCAAATGGTTTAACTCAGGAGTTTAGGGGCAGTGGGGATATCTGACGACACTTTTGCTATCGAAAAATGGTTTTTATTAATTGCACCCTTTTATTATTTATTAAAGTTAAAAAATAATTATTTTTATAGTAAATTTTTTTTAAAAAAATAATCAATGAACATGTGGTAGAATATCACAAAAATATAAACTATTTTTGGAAAGTACCTGTTTGACATATTATTCGCCAAGGTGTCTTTTTATAATATTAAATGTGTAAATATGATTTATTGTGGTCATATTTGACTGTATCATGCCCCCAATTTAATGATAAGTTTTTATATTAAATTTTTTAATCTATGTTGAGAATTTTTAATGCTTGACATTAAATTTAGTATTATTATTGTAGGGATACTACACTGTAATAAAATCGCTTTTTTTAAATAAAAGTTAAATTGATGTCATGAAATTATTTCTTTTGTAAAGTGTTAAACTGTTCTTGCAGTAAAAATAGTTTTTTTATTTCTGCAATCTTCAAGAAAATTTTGTTTAACAGATTAAATTTTAAGAACAAATAATTGATTAAAGACAAACTTTACACATAATATTAATGCTACCGTTAGTAGCCAACAAAGCAGTATTAAGTCTGTAACGGTAAGAAATCAATAAGAAGTTTTTAATCGAATCAAAACATAAATTATTTAATGAAAGAAAATATAAACATATGCCGAATAAACCCCTAGTTACTAAAAAGCAGTCTTCCGCCCATAATTACCCAACCAAAGGTAACAATTAATACCATAGAATATTTTAAGGTACAAAATACATCTCAAATAATATAGTAATTTATATCTTACTTTTATTAGATATTTCCAAATAAGAAATTGGCAAATAGTTCTTAGTAAGGTTATTCATTGATTTTATGAGGTCGTTGACTTAATTGTGCATTTTACTAAATTAAAAAAGAAAAATTTAACTTTTAAATATTTTTTTTACTTTGAAAAACACAACGCCCATAAATATACTTTAGTAAAATGATTAGTAAATTTTAAGTAACTAGTATTTGTAATAATAAATAACTGTTATAAATTATAAAATAAATTTTATAATTTACTTTCTTTATTGTTTACGAAAAAAATAATCCTTTATTTTGAAAGAGATGGTTAAAGAAACGGGTAAAAACAATAATTTAAATATTATTTATGAGATTATAACGATATATCGTAAAATGAAAAGAGGAAAGAATAATCAAAACATATACCGAATGCAATTTAATATTGATCATCATGGACCAGATTTTTCCGAGGTTGACATTGAAAATAATTTACAGGAGGGAGTTGTAGGATCAAATGGTAAAATTATAGATTTTTGCAGGTATAGAACATTAGATAACATGAAGTATATTTTTTACTCAAAGGAAACAACTCTTATTGAATCAGATGATATTTTTGCTAACATGGATATTTTAAAGAATAAATATTACTGGTTAAATATTTTTAATCCTAGCGAAAAAGATTTAGAAATTCTGGGAAATTATTTAGGAGTGCACGATGTGACTCTTATAGACATTCGAGAAAAAAATACAGAAGAAAAATTAGAACATTTTAAAAATTATTTTTTTATCAGTTTAAAATTACTAAGCACTTGTAATCTTGGAACAGAAGATATTGATTTTAATATTTTGATATTTAAAAATTTTATTATTACAACACATGACAAACAGTGGAGTGGTATTAGAGATATACTTAATTTTTTATCTACTATTTCTCAACATACTATTTTATATCCAGATTGGGTGTTTTATTCTATTATTATAGAATTTTTACAGGATGTTAAATATGTTTTAGAAAATGTTAGACCAGAAAGTACAGCACAAAAAGCGTGCAGTAGATCCATAAATTATGAAATGGGAGATAATCTTAAAAATAATTTTGAGATGGTATATCAATTGTATAATTTTCGACAATTTATTCGACCTAAGATAATAATCTTAGAAAAGATGCGAAAGTCGAATAAAAAAACTCCAAGAAATGTTTTGTATCTTTTAAATGACTGTTATAAAGATTTTAAGAGACAGCAAAAGTTAGCGGTGGAATATAATGAAATATTAGAAAGATCACAAGATTTATTTTTAGCGCTAGTAGACATGGAACAAAGTAGAGAAGCCAATGAAATGAATAAGGCTATGAATAGATTTACAAAGATTGCATTTGTATTTTTACCCTGTCAAACCATAGCGGGGCTGTGGGGAATGAATGTAAAGGTACCTTGGCAAGATCAAACTTCTGTATTTTATTTTTGGCTGTTATGTGCAGTGGGTCCTTTGTGTAGTTTAATTGTTTACTACTTGTATAAATTGTTTAAAACTAAAAGAAAAACAACAGTTAAAAAGTTTTAATAAAGAACATCATTTGTTTGTATTTAGTTGTTTTATACCATGTCATTGTTTTTATAAAACATAAATAAAAACAAATATTATTTTTAATTAATATCAATTAAGCATTGAATGTTATGTCAAAAAATAAAAATACACCAACATTATATACAATTTTAGTACAATTCATGCAAAAAATCAATATAAGTATATAAATTAAATAATTATTTATATAACATAACCTATATAAGTTAATTATTAGATACATTTAATGATATATCATTTATTTGTTTAGTAACATTACCATTCTTGTTCAATTTGCATCTTTTATTATTTTTATTTAATTTATATCTTTTAATATTACCACATTTACACTGACATTCTAAATATTTTTCATTCCTAATATCAACTATCTTAGAGCTACCATTTGTAATCCTTAACTTAAAACATTTACCACAAACAGATCTTTTAATTGAAGGTGGAATTTTAATCAAAAATTTCTTTGCAACTAAAAACATTCTTTTTATTAAATTTTTATGAATATCAAGATTTCTGTACACTAAGGCCATGTTAAATAGAAATATTAATTTTTGAACCGTGTTTTTATTTTTACGATTTTTCATAAACGAGGGATTTTAAAAATTTATATTTTTTAATCTTTTTAAAAATTAATAACCTACAAGGAAGATTTTTCTAATAAAGATATATAAAATAAATTATATATTTGAAGGTTAGTATTTTCTTTTATATTTGACTTATTGCTTCAGTGACACCATTGAACAAATTTGGTGATAAATTCAATTCTCCTTATTCTCTTGTACATTTATGTCACCTCTTCTTCGGTACTCCAACAAGATACTCTCGTATAAAAAATAATTATTAAAATTTTTATAGTGTAAAAAATTAATTTTTTAATACTTTTATAGTCTAAAAAATAAAATATTAAAATTTTTAGAGCCCAAAACATAATTATTAAGAATTTTTACACTATAAATTATTAAATACTTTTAAGTGTAAAACATAATTTATAATATTCTTACACTATAAATTATAAAATAGTTCAATTTTTACACTATAAATTATAAATTATTTCTATTTTTTCTCAAAAGCATAACCCCTTTATGAAATGTAAATATTGTGATTTAGAATATAGTTTAGTAGAATGTTCAACATGTAACATAAAGTTTTGTAATTCTAGAAGTCTATCATCCATCTCACACATAATTTTCCATTTAGTGAAAACTAAACACAAATCTATAAAAATTGATAACAAAGATGTTATCTGCATTAAATGCAAAGAAGATAATATTTTTAAATTAAGGAAATACAATGAGAATATTTTCTGTAAAAAATGCAGTGATTATGGTGATTTAATAGTAGATGAAAGGTGTCTTACACTTGTAGATTCTCCTTGTATAGATAAAGGTAAAAAGCTTACTAAACAACAGATGACAGAAATAGAAGAACAGTCTTCTGATTATTTACCAGTTATAAAATCCAGATTTGAACCAGAAGAATATGTAAATATTTTTAGTGCATTAATTGATGCAGAATGTCAAAAAGAGAAAGAAATTAAAGAGAGCATGAAACAGTCAAATGTGGTAGTAAGATGGGAAAATATGAAATTTGGATATTTTTATTTTCAGAGATCTGATGCAGATTTAAAAATAAATATTGGTGATGAAATAAAGTTAACTCATAAAAGTGGACTAATTATTACTGGATTTATAAGTAATGATAGTTTTACTGAGGAATTGAAATTTGAGGTAGATCACTACGGGGATTATCCTAGAAGTGGATATACTATTGAATACATCTGGCGTGGTGTGTGTTATGAAAGAATGAAATGGGCATTGAATAAATTGTACAATATGTATTTACGTAAAAATACAAATGAAATGACATTATATGAATATTTAATTAGAGGAGGAAAAGAATATGTAAATAATAATATTGAATTAGAGACAGTACCTAATATGCCAAAACTTAATAAATTTCAGGAAATATCTGTAAAAGCGGCATTAAGTAGAAAAGTCACTCTTATTCAAGGACCCCCTGGCACAGGAAAAACACTCGTATCCGCTGCAATAGTTTATAATTACATTAAGAAATTTAAAGGTAAAGTTTTAGTGGTAGCACCTTCTAATACCGCCGTAGATCAATTGACTCTTAAAGTTCATAAAACAGGACTAAAGGTTATAAGAGTAATGAGTAGAAGAAGGGAATATACACAATCAGATGTAAATTTCTTATCTTTACATGAAAATGTTAAAGATTTACAGACTATGTGTAACATGAGTGATGAAGAAGATGAAGAAAATATAAAAAAACGCCTTTTAAATCAGGCAGATGTTATAACTTGTACTTGTGTGACCGCTGGACAGAAAATGTTTAATAAAATGAAATTTTCTTGTGTTCTGGTGGATGAAGCAGTACAATCTACTGAACCACTAAATATTATACCATTAGTGTATGGCTGTACAAAACTTATATTAGTAGGAGATCATAAACAGTTAGGCCCTACTATTTTATGTAAAAAAGTAGCAAAGGCGGGATTTAAACAAAGTTTATTTGAAAGATTAATTTTATTAGGAATTTCTCCTTATATTTTATCTTTACAGTACAGAATGCATGCTGATCTGTGCGAATGGCCTTCAGAGACTTTTTATAACGGCGAATTACAAACCGGTAATAGACTTTTTTATAAACTTAATATAGGAATTCCTCATAATTTCTTTTATGCTTGTTACGGTAAAGAAGAGGTCAGTACAAGTGGAACATCTTTTGTTAATCCTATGGAAGCTTTATATTGCGAAAGTATTATAAGACACCTTTTTAAATCTGGAATAACTGAAAAGCAAATAGGTGTTATAACACCTTATGAAGGTCAAAGATCTCATATTCTTAATAGAATTTTTGGATCAGAACCAGGAAATCTAGAAATAAGTAATGTTGATGGATTCCAAGGTAGAGAAAAAGATTATATAATTGTCAGTTTGGTTCGATCTAATCTTTATCAAGGTATAGGATTTGTAGGAGATAAAAGAAGAATGAATGTAGCACTTACAAGAGCTAAACATGGACTTATTATCATTGGCAATCCGAATACGATGATAAAACATGATGCTTGGAAATCTTTATTGGAATTTTATGAAAAAAAAGGACTTGTTTTAGAAGGACCTTTAGGAGATTTAAAGAAGGTTTCATTAACTAAAAATCGTAAACATTTCGATCTAAAATCTATTGCAGAATCTATAAAATAAATTTATTTTTTATTATTTTTTTCATTTATAAACACTATCTTTTCTTCAATATTTTTTATTCTATTTTTTACATTAATTTTAGTAAAATTATCTTTATCTACCGATTGAACTATTACCTTATGATCTACCGCTATTTCCTTATGATCTACCGATTTAACTATTTCCTTATGCGTTTCATTTTGCTTATTAATCTGCGGTACATTAGATGCATTTGTTACTTTTTCTGTTTTATCTACAACTTGCTTATCATTTTCTAATGGTTTTTTACACAATATTTCTTCTTTTTTATAAAGTTGCTTCTTTATTTTTTTTGCTAGCTCTCGAATTACATAAATTTTGTCTTTTTCAAACTGAATAAGCCATTTTTCATTTTTAAATTCTAATAAATCTATATTTTTTACACACTCGTTAAGTAAAGCTTTTCTATACCTCCAATTAAAATCAAAATTACAAAATAAATTATTAATAATCTCTGTTTTACATTCACTATCAATATTTTTTAGTACAATTAACTTTGTAATTAAAATATTTCTTAAATTTCTATTTTTACTTGCTTCTAAAAGTAAATCATTTAAAAATGTATATTCTTTTTTATAAATAATATCAATATAATTTAAAATATTAATTCTAATATCTTCGTAAACATGATGTATTTTTAAATTAAGAATATTTTCTAATATTTTGTATAATTCACACTTATTATCTTCTCTTTTAAAATATTCTATAAAAATGCGACTAATTTCTACAAAATCATTAATTTTTAATAAACTTAAATTGGTAAAAGATCTATTACACCAGTTTAAAAAATAGGAATAATCATAAATTCCTTTTTTTAGAAGATCTTCACAGATTTCTAAATGATCTTTTATTTTTTTATACAATGGTACTGTAATATTCTTTATAATAAAATGTTTATATCCACTTTTACAATAATTAATTAATCTGCTTAGTAAAAAACTATCATTTCTGTAGGTTAAGAAAATACAAACATTTTCTATAAAAAAATTTAGATTCGTTAATTCAAAATCTAATAATAAACTTTTTAAATCTATATTTTTATCTTCTTTTTTTAAATTAATGTTTTGTAATAAAAAATCTATATCTTCATTTTCACTAAGTTTTATTTGTAAGATAAGTAATTCAATGAGAATATCTTTCTTTGTATTGTATCTTTCTATAAGTTTATTTAAATTGGTAAAATCTTTTTCAATTTTAAAAATATAGGTAAATAAATCTACTATTTGTTTTAAACAAGTATCCATAATAGGAATACATAACTTAAAGAATATTTCATTATCAGAAATATACTTAGGAATATTTATATCTTCATCTTTATTTTTGATGTGAAAAATATCTTCATCATCAATATATTTATCTTTTTTATACGCTTTAAGGACTAAATTACATAAATCATCGTATATAGAAAGTGCACAATTAAAATCATCTATTGTGATTTTTATAAGCTGATCAAGAATATTTTCTAAACTTCCCTTGTCATAAACTTCTTTTATATTTTTATATATCCACAATATGTGGTATGTATTGGAAAATTTTAAATTTTTTATTTTCTCATTGAAATCTTCTCCTGTAATAAAATTCATGCGGGATATAATTTTTATAGTTTTAGGATAAAAAAATTTAAAAAATATTACAACAAAAAAATATTAACTAATGAATTTAATAATCCCCTATTTATGAATAATACACAGTTATGCTTTCCTTTGCTAGGGCATCAGTGTAAGGGAAAAATAGTTAAACTCTGTTATTCTAATACTGTGATAAACATTTTTGAGATTGAAGGTAAAAAATCATTAGTAAACTACAAAGGAACTATTAAATACGATAAAAAATTTAAATTAGAAGAAATAGTAAATTGTACTATTGTATCGTACAGTGATAATGGAATAAATTGCATTTTAATATAAAATAATGTTATTTATAAGTCGTTTTCGTTATATTGTTTGTTTGTTTTGTTATATTGTCTGCTTGTTACTAGTGTAAGCTCTGGAAAACAGTAAATTATTTATGTGTTATTCCCATTTAAATATAAAAATAATTAGTCCTCTATTACCCCTTTAAAATGGCAGATATTTTTTTTGAATATGGCATTCCATTTCCTTTTTATCACATAAATTTTGTTTTTCCAGATAAAAAAGACTTACCAGAACCAATAAAATTTCCTAAATCTTCTTACAACTTAACATTCAGTCGTACTATTTTTAATGGAAGACTAAAAGTATTGTCTGAAAATACTTTTGCTTTGTACCAAGAATCAAAACCAAGACTTACTATAGTCGGTAATAAATCTTTAACATTTTGTTTAAGAGGAAGTATAATAAAAATTGAATCTACCCGGTCATATGTTTATATTAAAACCAGAAAACATTTTTATTCTTACGACTATACTACTTTTAAAGTCTGGGATCTAGAAATCGAAGATTTTTGTATTATCGATGATATTTTGTACGTCGTACACAAAAATTTTATTAGTGCGTTTAACGGCGAAAAAAATATCGCGCGCACGATGTGTGATAAGAATATTCGCTTTATTAGGGGAACAACTAATAATCTAGTAATAGTTACAAAAGATTATAAAGTAATAGTTTTAAACAGATACAGTATTGATTCTGGTAGACTAGTATATCATAATGAATCAATTATTGGTATAGAAATTTCTGAAGACTTAATTGCTTTAAAAACGCCTTCTCTTATTATTGTTGTTGGTTACTTAAATAAAAAAGTAGAAAAAATCAGATGCGAAGGAAGTTTTAAGTTAAAAATGTGGAATAATGTTATTGTTGTTAATTTAAGAAGAGGAGCTTTTAAATATTTTGAAATAAAAAATTTACAAAACAGTAAAACTGTTTTATATGAAGAAATTATTGGAGATTTTGATATATTTAGAGAAGATTTATATGTATTGACAAGATCGGGAATTTATTCGTGGCAAAAAGATAATAATTTATTTATTAAGTTAAACGTTATATGGAAATTTTCTTTATTTTTCAATACAATTTTTAAGCAGCACTACGTTTTACCGGATCCAGAAAAAAAAACCAAACTGGATTTTTTAGATCTTGGAATTAACGAATTAATAAAGAAAGACAAGCAAAGGTTGTTTAATAAAAAAACAGAAGAAGATAAAACCACATTCAAATTTGATATAAAAGATAGAAAGAAAACTAAGAGGGGTGGTTTTTAAATTTATAATAAATTAAATTGTATTGTATTTTTTTCAATTTAAAACTTATTATTGACTTAATATTTTTACTACAGCTTTGTATTAGCATTTCTAAAAAATCAATTTAATCTTTACAAGTTGATGATTTAACTTAATATTTTTATTACAGCTTTGTATTAGTATTTCTAAAAAATTAATTAAAAGCTTTGCAAGTTGATAATATAATAACATTTACAAATATTTAATTAATATTACTTATTTAGAGTCATAACATATCTATTTAATACAAAAATAAATTTGATCTTTTAATAAAATAAATGAGCTTGATAGTGCAATTTAATGTCTAATTGTTTTTAAAAAATATGATTCTTAATATCAAAATGTATTATTCTGTACATAATCCTTGTTTGTTTATAAAATCTAAAATGTTATAATATTTTAAAATTTATAAATCTAACAGACTAGTTTTTCTTTACATTTTAATTTTAAATCTATCAACAAACAAAATAAATTTTTTAAACAATTAATTTAATTTATGCAAAAAAACTATAAATAAAATTAATCTTTTATGCAATGCTTGAAACTGAATCTTCACTTTTAAATAGGTCAGTTGACCAAGACCAAGGAAATTTAGATATCTTGGTTAATTCAGGAATATCTTTACAAGACATAAATAAACTAAGGGCCTCTGGTATTTGTACACTAAAAGGTATTCTTATGACTCCTAAAAAATCTTTAATTAAAATTAAAGGATTGAGTGACATAAAAATTGAGAAAATGAAAGATGCTGTTAATAAACTTTTAAATGTAGATTTTATTACTGCCTCTGCTTATGCACTTAAAAGGTCACAATTATTTAGAATATCTACTGGAAGTACAGATTTCGATTCCCTTTTGGGAGGAGGAATACAGACAATGAGTATTACTGAAATGTTTGGAGAATTTAGAACTGGTAAAACACAATTGGCTACTACAATGTGTATAACAGTACAACTATCTGAAGAAGAAGGTGGTGCAAAGGGTAAAGCGGCGTTTATAGACACAGAAGGAACATTTAGACCTGAGAGATTAAGGGAAATAGCTAATAGATTTAATATTGATCCTGATGAAGCATTAGATAATATTATTTATGCTAGGGCATATAATAGCGAACACCAAAATGAATTAGTACAACAGCTAGCTGTTAAATTTGCAGAAGATTCGAAATATAAACTACTTGTTATTGATTCTATAATATCATTATTTAGAGTAGATTTTAGTGGTAGAGGAGAATTAGGAGAAAGACAACAAAAATTAAATCAATTCTTATCAAAATTAATTAATATTTCAGAAGAATTTAATATAGCAGTATTAATTACGAATCAGATGATGGCAGATCCATCAGGAGCAATGACATTTGTTGCAGATCCTAAAAAACCAATAGGAGGTCATGTCTTGGCACATGCTTCTACTACACGAATATCATTAAGAAAAGGCAGAGGCGAGACTAGAATAGCAAAAATATATGACTCCCCTGATTTCGCAGAGGCAGAAGCTACTTATTCAATTACTGAAGGTGGGATTTCTAATGTAACAGATAATTAATATAAATTATTTGATTTGTCATTTTTTTGTTTTACACCCGTAAAATTGATTTTTAATTTTATTAGCATTTTACAGCTTTAAAACATTTTAGCCCTAAAATACACAATGAGTAAAAATGGATTGTTTACCACAGCACTAAAAAGACTTGTTAATGAAGAAAAACTACTAAAAGAAGAAACAGAAAATATTTTTTTAGCATTTCCTAGAGAAGTAGAAGGAAATATTTTTTATAAAACATGGGATATTTATTTCCGTCTTCCTTCTGATAACTCATTGTACAAAAATAAAATAATAGAAGCAGAAATGACATTTCCTCAAGATTATCCACTTAGACCACCCAAGTTTGTGTTTAAGACTAAAATGTTCCATCCGAATATTTATGAAGATGGTAAAGTTTGTATTAGTATTTTAGAGGAGGATAACCCTGGTCCTCTTGGATGTGGAGATTCTGAATCTAGGTGGACGCCAGTACAGAATATTAGGATTGTATGTTTGTCAATTGTCATTTTACTTGATAATCCAAATCCCGATTCACCGGCAAATGTAGATGCTGCAAAGATGTTTAGAGTTGATCCCAATGGTGAATATAAAAAAATAGTAACAGATCTTATTCAAAGTGAGAATAAGAAGATGCTAAAGAAACGTAAAATAAAAGAAATATTAAAAATGTTTTAATATAATTATATTATTTTATAAAATAATTATTAAATAATGTTCTTTATTAAAAATGTATATTATTAAAGTTATTTAATGGTGTATGTTATTTAATAATGTAATTTATAAATAATGCTTATTATTAATTTATATATATTATTTAATAATGCTTATTATTAATTTATGTATATTATTTAAAAATGCTTATTATTAATTTATGTATATTATTTAATTGTTTATGTTATTTAACAATTTATTAAATAATATACAAAAAGAAATAATATTTGTAATAAATTATATATTTAATATAAAATTAAATTCTTTTTAGATTAAAAATATCCTTTTTTTCACTAAATAACATTTTTTATAAAATAATAAATTAAAACGGTAAATATCATTCTACTAGTAATATTTTTAGTATTTGAATGATCACATAATAAACTTATTATTAGACTTATTAATTCGTATTCTATCAAAAATAAGAATATAAATAGATATTGAAAATAATCTGTACGAATTGATGGTATTACTCGCAGTATTAGAAGTAAAAAAGAGTACATATCTTTTTTAAAAAGGATTAAAGGAGTAAAAAAGTCAAGGCTTATAAAAGATGTATAATCTTCGGACTTTTTCAGATTTTTCTTATGGCATTCTGTTTCTTCAATTATGTTGTGATTCAAATCCTGTGAATGTTCAAGAGATAGGTGATCTTTGTAATTTCTATCATCTAAAACAGATGTACATGTGTAATTACTTAAAACTAAGCGATATTCTTTTTTTCTTATTTGGTAATCACTTATAACATACTTTATTTTATTTATAACATCTTGGTACCTTTTTTCTTCGTGTGGCGGGGAAATCTTAAAATAAATTAAAAAAATATCTAATAGTGCTAAAATGTATATAATAGAATAGTCAACATGTACTAGAAAAGATAATATACATCCACTAATCTCTATATAATACACTATATGAGAAATATCAGTAGATTTAATTAACAATGAAGTTGTGTAATAAGTGTTACTTAGAATATATGAATACGATAAAAAGTATAGAAAGGGAAATTGAAGATAAATGAAAATAAGAGCGGTGCCTAATAGAAATCTTAATCTGCTACAAAGAAAGAATGTTACACATTTATGTAATAAAAGACCTACTAAAATCATATAAATATGTCTTGATGAAGGATAAAGATGAATGCATATAAGAAATAATTGAAAAGTGTATAATAATAAAATAAAGGGTTTTATCATAAAAACAAAACAATAAAATATAAATAAATTGTGTGAAACACAATAATTGTGATTTGTTAGAAAGTGAAAGGCTTTATAACAATATTTTTTTTATAAGTTTGCTAGAAGATAAAAGGTCATAGCTAAAGATTAGTGTATACTACTAAAATAAATAGGTAAATTTGTAAAAAATTTGTTTTCTATGCTTTACCAATCTTATTAAAAAGACTAATTTTTAGTATTTTAAAATAAGACTTAACGTTTTTGTTTGCATTTCACAAAAAAATATTCTAGGGTTGTAAAAAATCTTGTTTGTATTAAACATCATGTGATATGTTACAGGATTTATACATTTTAACATTTAAGATATAAAAACTTAAGTAAACATGTCAATTTATGTATAAATACTATGTAGTATCTTTTTAAGTAAAATAAACTTGCGTAAAAATCTCATTTTTAGCAACACGCTAAAATAGTTTTTATAAAGAAAGGTGGTAAATCTACATAATATTTTGTAAAAATAGGTTACATTTTTTTACCTTTTCTATTAAAATTTAAGGATAGTAACATAATATCCCATTTGTAATATAAAAGCTTCTAAAGTTTTACAAAAACAAAGAATAATTATTTCTTGTATTTTTGTGGTTAAAAAACAATTTACATATCATTATTCCTTATTTTAACCAATATATCAAATAAATTTTCTATCTTTGCTAAAAACTTATTATATTTACAATTGGTATTGTTAATAACAGTTTAACATTAATTTAAATTTTTTGTTTAAAATCATAGAAAGTATTGTACTCAATATCATAAATTAGCCTTTAACGATAATTATAAGTTTTTAACTTATGGGTAAAATTTGTTATTATTTTTCTGTCCATGCTAGTATCGGCTTTGTGCAAACAGTAACTTACTTATCTGAATCTTAAGCTTCTGCTATCCTGTCTCCCCTTCAGCACTTCATTTAAATGCTCTTAAGAGTCTTCTTAAGCGTTAAGGGTTGGATGTATACTTCAATTCGACCGGCTATTTCAACCCCCTTCCTATAATTAGGTTGTTATTTATTTACTATACCGTTCCTTATTATTATGTATGGTATTATTTTAATCTTACATACACACACTAAAAAGCCTTTAACAATAAGTAAATATAACCATATTTTTTTGCCCTTTTAGATGAAAGAAATTATAAATTTACTAAAAAGTCTACAAAAAGGGGACAAGATTCGTTTAAATGTTCTTATAATGATATCTGTTAGTCAGGCAAGGCATATAGATCCCCTTGGAAAAATAATACTTGCATATTACAAAGATTGTTCTAACAAAGAAGCCATTAGGTGGTTTCTTGAGACAATCTGTGAAAAAGATGAAAATTATTTAGAATTTTTTTCTAGATATTCTAAAATATTTGAAGGTGTAAATGACAAATTATCTTATTTACTTAGAGATTATAAAAAAGTGAAGAGAGTAAAATATCACGAATCTACTCCATCTGAAATTAAAACTAATATTGTAAATAAAGAAGTAATTAAAGGCAAGCATAATGAACCTGCTTTACACAGCATCTTGTATGAGAAAATACAATGTAAATTATGTGGGTTAAGATACAAAGAAAATGATCCCTCGTATGATGTACATATAGAAGATCATATGAGAAAAAATAGGGCAAGAAATGAAAAAGATGTTTTTAGCAGAGAATATTTTTCAACTTTTGATGGATGGATAAAAAATATGGAAAGAATAACTCTAAATCTTAAGATTGATAAAATCGAAAAAGTGATTTACAAAGGAGGCACAGTACATTGTAAAGTGTGTGGAAATAAAATCGAAGCACTTTGGGATGAAGAAGAGGACGAGTTTGTGTTAAATGAATGTGTACAATTAGACGAAGATGAATATTGTCACAAGGCTTGTGTCATCTAAAAATTCATGCATTTAAAAAAATAAATTATTTAAATACTTTTTTTGCATAAACAAATTTATTAATTATTGATTTATTAAATTTTTACCCTTTTGACCCATGATAACAAGCCGAAAAGAATTAATTAGATGGTTAAAATCTTTAAATATCCATATAAATTGTATAGAAGAATTTGGACAAGGTACTGCTATATGTCATTTATTAACTATCATTCATCCAAATAAATCCTTTAATTTTATAAAGGAACCTTCTACGACTTATGAGTACCTTAGAAATCTAAAAACAGCACAAGGGTTTTTTCAAGAGAATAATATTGAAGTAAGATTTCCTATTGAGAAACTTGTACAATGTAAACTACAGGATAATTTAGAATTTGCACAGTGGATGTATAAATATTATATTAAAAATCATAATAATAAAACAAAGAAGATTACAAATAAAGATGAAGTGACTAGAGAATTTGAAAGGGAAAAAAATAGAAAAGAAATAGTAGACAATTTAAAAAAACATAGTGTAGAACAAAATACAAAATTAGAAGATAAATGTTTAAAATTAGAAGAAAATTATAACCAACTTCTAGAAAAATTTAAGAAAACAGAAGAAGATAATTTGATGTTAAAAAGTAAATTGGGCATTTTTGCGGATAATGATGTACAGAAGGTTATTAAGGAATTAGAAGAAAATAGAAATTTTTATTTTTGTATTTTAGTAGAAATAGAAAAATATTTAACTGAATGTGATAGTATTGAAGAGAATGTTAAAAATGATATATTTAATATTTTATATAAGAAAAGTTAAAAATAGTTTAAATATTTTGTATAATTTATAAATAAAATATTATAATATTAACTTGTTGATAACATAAATTAACTTTACTTTATCTTTTTTGTGCTGTAATTTTAAATTTTATAAAATGACATACTAAATGTAAGCAAATAATGTTGAGTAGAATAGTTAAAATGTTAATCTGTGTGTAGGACAGTAAAGATGTAGACATGTCAATCAGCAGTATTGGGTTGATGGCTTTGACATGTCTGTTATATAAATAATAATTGTTAAATAAACCAATGTTTTATTCAACACTGTGTAATTAAAAATTTTTGCAAAATTCATTACTTAAACATCTTCTAAAAAATTTTAAATTTTATTTTTTTTCTAAATAAATAGATCTTTAATTTATTTTAATTCTTAATTATTGTTCTTCTCTAATATAAAAAATACCATAAACACTAGAAATCTTTTCATTGTACTTCGGTTTAGTATAAGTAATTTCTGATTCATCGTTAAGATAAATCCACATATCCTTGTACAATATACAGGCAATGTAATGACCGCCAGCATCCCCACTAATAGGCCTTTTACTAATCCAAGAATAGCCGAAAAATTTATATTTAACTGTTCCAACAGTTAAATATTCTGGAATTTTAGCGTAGTGAATATAGTATTCGCCTTCATTATTAATATTTTGTAAAGCTAATACCGCCGGTAGTGGATTCGTAATTTTCGGTGTATTCCCAGTATATAAATCGTTAATATATGCTTGTAAATTTAAAGCGTTTTTAGTATCATCTATACCAATAAAAACTTCAGCAGTACTATCTTTATCTGAACTATTCAATTTTAAAAAGAATAGATCTCTAACCCACGAATCTCCAATAGAATTATAATTTTTGTAAAATTGAATATCAAAATCATCCTTGTCTTCATTAATAAGCGCACTAAGAATAAGTTGAAGCAATTGGAAACTACACTCCATACTTTTTTTTGAAATAAGATTTGCAGATTTATATTTAACAGCGATTAGAGAAATAAACTTTTCATATAACGGTGTTAGATCAACAGAGAAAGAAGCATCCATAAGACTGAAAATACGTTGTAATAAAAAATAAAACGAGTCTTGATTTCCAGTTGTCCTCTTACTATGGATATGTTCTTTAAAACTATTAATACGGTACAATATTTGTAATGTAGTGTTCATATAACAATATACACTTGTATTAACAAGCCTTGTATTTTCTACTATTGCGGATTTTTCAATATAAAATTTTTCGATTTCTACTGGAAAAAAATAATCACTATTTACTAAAATGTATCCAAATATAGTAAGCATAGTTAAACTTAGAACCAATGATGTTTTTAGAAATTTATAGTAAGAAAATCTTCTTTGTACTTGTACCATTGAGGGCAAATAATAGTGTAGATATAAAAATAAATGAAAAAGGAAAAATAAATAAGGGGTAGGTTAAAATTGCTGAAATTTTGTTGTTTTATTTATTACTACTTTGAAAGAAAAATGTATATTGACGATAAAAAATTAAGCGTTATTTAATTTCTTTTGGGCATAGATTGTCAATATTATTTAATGAGTATGGACCTTTTGAATTTTTCGCTATTGTAGTATTATTTATGCTTATAAGCTCTATTAATGTATTTAAGTAATATTAAACAATGTAAAAAATATACATTTAACCTTTTACTATAAAAAACGCTTTTTCTGCCAATGATGATCAATATTTATAGCTTAATTAAAGTAAAAAAAAATAAATAAAAAGTTTATTGTTAAAAAATAAAAACAGCAAAATAAGAAAATCCATCAGGTCATTAAGAACTCCACTGTAAAAACAAAACATCAATATTGCTCTTACACGCCAGCATACCTTTACGACCTTGCTTATAGGAGAAAAAGCGTTCCCTTAGAATACAGAATCCTTGGTCTACTTAAAGACCATCTCTCACCTTCAGTGAGTGCACAGAACAAAATCGCCTGGCTCAATATACCATTTAAGAACACAACTTAGTTCAGCGGAGTGTGCTAGATAAAGTATAAATTTTAAAAAGGTTAAAATATAGTATTTTAAGAATAAATAAGAATTAAATGGTAAGTTATAAAACGATAAACTAAAAATTAACGTTTTTATTAAAAAATAAGAACTTTCTTATTTTTTTCAAAAAATAAATTTAATGAAACAGCAAAAGAGTTATAAAAAATTTATAAAACTAGAACACCAAAGATGCTTTATTTTTATAATTCATTATTCTACCATATTAATCATAAATAGTGTTTATGACCTGAGCTAGAGGTATATTAAGCAATAAAGTTATGACTTTTATATCAAAAAGAATTATATTCAATTTAATGTGTATGGTACGGCATAAAAACATCCGCTTTCTTTTAGGCAATATTGTGTTTAACTCTTTCCATTATAACGATACACCTATTGATCACCTCTTCTAATAATGCTTGCCATAAAATAAAACCTTTTTTTAATAAGTTTTTACACATCTAAATTTGATATCGCCTATCTAAATTTTTTTTCTATTAACAAGAATTTTAAAAGATAACCCTTCACCTCAGATTGTAAATCGTAATGTCACGAGCTGCTACATGCCTAGCTTATCTATTAATGAAAAGATATTTTACTCTTTCATTTTCTACAGAAAAAAACTTTTAAAAAAAAATAAAATCTATAAAATAAATATTTTTTTTAATTATTTACCCGACTTCTCATCTGCGCAATAAAATTTTCAATATCGTTAGTAGTTTTAACAAACTCAAATAAATTATAATCACTAGACTTAAATAGTTTACAAAACAATAATGTTATTTTATGATTTGAAAAAACATTAACATTTTCTTCACTTAATTTCTCTATAAATCTTTTATGTAATTCTTTATTATTTTCATTCTTAATAATAACAGTATTGTCTAAGTCTTCTAAATAACTAAATCTTAGTAAATTTTCTTTTATTCTTAAATCAACAATATCTTGTATGATATCTAAAATAGTATTATAAGAATATATGATATCTATTATTAGATAATAAAAAGAATTAAAATACTTTTTAAATTTAATATAACCAAAACTAATATTTGTAGCTATACATCTTTTGTAGTATTTTCTTTGTAGTAAATCTACTGGGGATGTACTAATTATTAATTTAAGATGTTGTAAGAAAACATGATATTTATAAATATTGTCATTAAATTGAATATTAACTGGTAGATTAAAAAATACAATTTTCAAATGGTTTGTAAACTCATATAGAAAGTATAAATATCTTCTTTTTATATTGATACTAATTTTTGCATCAAAAAGTATTTCTTTTACGTGTTTTCTTAATTTAGATTTAAACAAAAAAAATTCGAATTCGCGCATTGCAATAACAGCTAAATAAATATACTCAAAACTGTGTAAAAGACTTCGATCATACGTATTCTGTGCAAATAATGTGTTGTTAGAAATACTATTTTTTATTTTTTGTTGTATATTTTCCCATTCGGTTTGAACATTTAAATCAAAGTTTAATGACTCAAATTTTATATCACTTTCACTTAATAAATAAACAATTACTTTGTATAAACATTCTTTTTTAGTACAATTATATTGTTTATCTGTCGAAGCCAAAAATTTATACTTAAATAACCAACTAACCTTATTTTTTAAAAAATTTGATCTTTTTTTTGTGTTTAAATTTGCAAAATCACGATCAACAGTATATTTAATTAAGTCATTATTGTGTATGTTATTATCTAAATTTGTACATGCTAATGTAATAAGATATATTGAAGTAATCATAAAGGGGTAATAAATTTTTTTTTTATCATTTAATAAATTAAAAATTTAAATGGTTTTGACGTTTAATAAACATTTTTAAATGGGTAAATATTCATTATATTGACAAAATCATAAAAAATGTTTTATTTTTAAAAAGTAAGGATTCTTTAATCGACATAATCATAAAAAATTATATTTTTAAATAAGTAAATATTTATTATATTGACACAATCATAAAAAAATGTTAAGCTTTTAAATAAATATCTATTATATTAACACAATAATTTGAAAATTATAAATTTTTAATAAATTAATAAATTAAAAATTTAAATTTTTTTGAAGTTTAATAAAAAATTTTAAATAGGTCAACAATTCATTATATTATATTTAAAAATAAAGTATAAAGCAATTTTAAACATTTTACTTATTATTACTATACATTTAATTAAATAGTTATTAATAAAACGACAAAAAAAATGTTTGAGTTTTGAAAATATTTTATGTGCCAAAAAATGTAAAAATATGTATTCTAGAACTAAAGAACAAAAAATATTGTAATTTAACTGATATTTTTAATTGATTAAAAATATAAGTTGTACAACATAAAACTTAAAAAATGTTGACATAATAAAATATCTTTATTTGCTAATAAATAGCAAAATTTTAATATTATTTTAAAAATTACAAAAAAAACAATAATACTTTATTTCAATCATAAAAACATTATAATAAATATTTACTACTTTATTTTCAATCATAAAAACATTGTAATAAATATTTACTAAATATTTATAAATTCAACAATATGTGATTCACTGTCAAATTCTAATATTCGCTTTTTTAATCTTTGCAGAATATCCTTGTCATTTTCACGTTTAATAAAATAAATTAATATATTTTCTACTACATTTAATTCAAATTCGTTATTAAAAATATATTCATAAAATTCTTTTCTGTCCACTAAACTTCTATCTAGAAATTCTAAAGTTGCATCTGGATTTTTAGTACACTCTAGTACATTTATTAATCCTATTTGTTCTACAATAAAATTAATATTCCTCCAAATATTAGAATAGTTACTTAATGCTTCTATAAATATCTCATTAGATGGTGCGTGTTTTAGTATTTTAAATATCTTTTTGTATAAAACACTGTCTATGTCTATTAATTTTATAATTTGATCATAGAAGATAGGATCACACACATTATTATTTTCTATAATTTGATCTATAACATCGCATATTTTAGCAATTTTTTGTTTATCTTGTTTTTCTAAACTGTAATTATTTTTAAATATTTTACCAAGTTCATTATCAATTCTTTCTATTTCTAAACTGTCATCTAAATCAATTAATTCAAATGCATTATTTTGTATATTTGAATCCGTTAATGTATGTTGTGTATTTTCATTTGTTCGTATATTTGAATCTGTATTTTTATTATCTAATTTACATATCTTAAATATTATATTAATTAATTTATCAATATATCTACTATTCTGATCAAATGATAATGATTTATTATCAAAATACCAAATAGTAAACATACGACTAAAATAATCTAAACTTGTAATATATTCCAACATAAAAAGATTATTAATATTAGTATTTGAATTTAACAACTTAATAATATTAATCGCTACTAAATCAACTATATCTTCTTCTGTAACGATTTCTTGTTGAAAAGAACACTTTGGTGCTATAATCTTAATTTTACTAAAAATTTCCTCAGGAGTACTGTAATTCTTAAATAAAAAAATGCAAATAGTTCTTATGTTAATATCTAATAAATTCTTACTTCCTTTCAGTTCAAGTAGTACTGAATTAAGATTATTTGTAGTAATTTCTAAAATTCTTCTTGTCTCATTATTTTTTTTATGCTTCTTCATTTTTGGGATAAAATTTAAAAAAAAATATTGTAATTTTATGGAATAAAAAACTAAATTGAACGTTTTTAATTTTATAAAAGGTATATTTCTTAGATAAATTATTCTTCATTTTTGTACTTAAATAAATTATTCTTCAATTTCAAAGTCTTCTTTTGATTACTGCCTACATTTAATTTTTAAGGATATAAAAAAATATATTTAATGATTTATTTCAAAAAAGATTTTTATAATTTTAGTATATAACTCAGCAAATTCTTAATTGTCCTTATTTATTACGTAACGTATTTAAAAGTATATTGTATTGGCTAACCATCAATATGGCTGCGATTTGTTCTAATCTCTTTTCTCATCGAGCTTTTTATGTGCACCCAAAATTTCTATAGTATTTGTATGTGTACCATCGTCCCCTCTAAACCCCACAGAATGATTTAATAGCAGTGTTCGATTCCTAACGCAAAAGCAGCAGACGGACACGACGATGTCAATCCGTGTATAGAACGCTTCTATCAATGATAACCGCATGCATATCTGCGGCAAGGTTGTAGTAGTTTTATTTGCAGCCCTTACGAGAAAAAAATTTCGTTAAGGTGTTCTATCAACACCGCCGAGTATCCAAATTGTATCGAAAATAGTATCATCTGCGGTTGTAGGGTAGCGAATAACCCACGTCTTGATAAAACACTCTCGTAAACTTTAAAGATAATACCTAATCTGTCTAAGAGAACGGGTCTCTGTTGGATATAGACTCTGTATTCATCCAGAAAAGAGCTTAATATCTTGCTATTGTAGAGTTGGATACAAACAAAAAATGATTATTCTGACTATAGCTTGTATCAAGCATGGGGAGATAAATCAAGTGCACTACATCTGTTAGAGGGATTTGAGAGCGAGACAAATAATGTCGCTTTTGACATTTGCGTTCAGAGCATCTATACAGTATCACATATAAACCACTAATCCCATTTAAATGGCATAATTTTCTTCGATTACCACAAATCACTGTTGTTGATATAATAGTATTTGATAAAAAAAAATTTTTAACTCGTTCATACAAATAAAAATTTTATCTTCAATCCTTATTCTCATAAAGGGTAAAAAAATATATTGATTGAAAGGCCAAGCAAGTAGAATATAATGTTTATGCATGTTTTCTGAAGTAAGGTACATAAAAAAGATAAAAATAATATTATATATATCTTAGATATGTAGGTTAAATTTAAGTTGAATTAGATACGTGGTAAATTAGATTTAGGTTAACTTAGATACGTAGGTAGGTTAGATTGGGTGGGGGGTAGAAAAAGAATATATAAAAAAAAAGTATGGTGATGGGTCGTAATCGAGAGAACTTGCAAAACCAAACATATTTGTTTTTCTTTCGATAACTGCCTACATGAGCAAAAAAAATTTAATTTTTTGTAATATTATTATTTCTTTATAATATTTTAGCCTTTCTTTTGAAAAAAATTAAATGTAAACAAATTCGAAAGAAGACCCCAATTACATGCCTAATACAATAATTATTCATTTTCGTACAAAACTAAATTATTCTTCCCTTTTGTACAAATGCACCTATTTCATTTTAAAAAAAGTGATATACAGAAAATAACTTAAAAGAAAAGAAGAACAAATAACAAACTTAATAAACCTGGGTGTAATTCTTCACATTTTTATAAAATACATTTTATTAAAAAGTACAAATATAATTTTACCGTATAAATTCAATAATCCGCTCAATAATTCTCTCTCGCTTAAATCGTGTCACCAGTCGATTTATAACCATGTCCCAGTACATATTCGCATATCTAAACTCACTCTTAATATTGTTAATATCATCCATTAGATTATTTATTTGTTGTTTAAATTTAGAATTAATTAATTTAGTCAATTTAAGTCTATTAAATTGTAAAAAGCTTATATTTAATTCTTGAGGTGTACATCCTCGCTCTATATTTCTTATTACATATTTATCATAATCTTTTACTATATTAGTAATTATTTTACTGGTACTAATCCCTTTACTTCTCATTATTGGTATAAATATCCCTTTATCTTTATAGATCTTGTAAATGTCATCTACATCGCCGTGTCTGTAAGGTGCCTCATCATGTGCTATAAAATCTATGTTATGTTTTAGAATAAAGTCTTCTGTTATAACCCATGGACAGTGTTCTATAACCTCATCTACGTATCTACAGTGCTTAAGACTTTCAGCCCGTTCATTTTCAGAAAATAACGTAGAGCCTTTGTATTCCTCAGTCATTTTATCGGATGTTACACCAGCAATTAAATGTACATTAGGAAATAAATATTTAGCTTGTTTTAAACTTCTAGAATGGCCATAATGAAATACATCATATACACCATCACAATATATTCTTATTGGTCTATTATTAGGCACTTTATATAAACATAATTGACTGGTCATAGGTTCATATAGAGATTTATCAGTGGGGTAATTAGGATACATGAGTGTATATTTATCATTTATGTCTACATCTATTGTATGTTTATTTTCTGTATGTTTATTTCTTGTATGTTTATCTTTAACTACTTTATTTTTCGATTTCTTGGTATTTTTCATGTGGAGGGTAAACAAAAATGGAAAATTTTAAAAATTGTTTCAAATATCAATATATTTAAAATGAACAAACAGTATTAAAAAGAACAAATTAAATTGTAATTTTAAGTAGCGAAATAAATTTATTTAATTAAAAAGAAAAGTTTATAGAAATAAAAATATGCATTAAATTGGGTGAAAACTGCAATTAACATTTTAATACAAACTAATAAAAAAGGTAGTACAAACAATTTACCTCATTTTTTATTTATCGTATCTAATAGTTGATTATCAAAATGTATATCTAATTAATATATTTACTTATATACATTCCACTTTTATAAATGTGTTATACACAGCCAATCTTTATTATTTTAATGTAACATAATCCATTTCATCATCAATATAAAATGTTTTATTTACTTCTTTCTTATCCATATTAAACTTCTTACTTACATAATCTTGTATTATAAAAATATTATCTGTAACTTTATTAACCTCATTCACAAGATCAATGTCTTTTTTCTGTACCTCTAAAAATTGATCTTTAGATAACTCACTAAAATCTTCTAAATCTTCCATCATAAATTCTAATCTATTACTTAAATTTTCTTTATCATTAATTTTATTAATTCTGTCATTAGTAACTTTTTTATTTATTTTTTCTATTTCTATGCTATTTTTTATATTTTCAATTTTATTTCTAAGATCTTTATTTTCTGCATCTATGCTATTTATTTTTTTTATATCTTCAAGTAATTTTTTATTGTAATTAGACCAATAATAAGTACTAGTGCCTACTTTCTCTCCACATATAAGATCATCATAAAATAATCCTAATACTACATCTTTAATAGTATTTTCTACTATCCCCTTCTCTTTACTTCCTAGTTTTTCCAGTTCTTGGATTTTAAAAAATGTTTTGTATTTATCAAAAAGTTCCAACATTTTGGTACGCTTTTCTTCAAGCATCATTTTTTTAGCCATGGGGTAGAAAAATAAAAAAATTTAAATAAATAAAATTTAGTTTATCTATTTAGATGATGCATCCAATTCTTTTTTAAAAAATAATCAAAAATAAATAAAATTTATTTTGTGCTTTACAAGTTGCGCTTAATCTTTTGTAGTGCACAAAATAAAAAACTAATTAAAGATAAAATCTATTTTGTCTTTACAAAATGCATCCAATTTTTTGTAGAACTAAAAAACTAAACAAAGATAAAGTCTATTTTGTATTTTACAAAATGCATCCAATTTTTTGTAGAACTAAAAAAATTTAATAAATAAAATTTATTTTATGCTTTAAGATTTAACTTCATCTTTCCATTACACTCAAAATATCCCATTTCTAATCTTGCTTCAAATTTCCTTCTATTTGCACATCTTCCTGTTTTGGCTCTCTGTTTTTCTTGCTTAGCTACTTTAGGTGTTTGATTTTTTACTTTACCAGCTTTTTTAATGTTTATTTGTGTGGCCATTTTAAGGGTAAAAAAATATGCATAAAATGTAAGATTAAAATAAATCGAAGGAATGTTTAGCCAAATGGACACTTTCATGTTGTAATCTATGGTTGTGTAATTGTAGTTAAAAATTCATATTTATTTACTTATTATTAAAACAATTTATAGTGGTAGTTGAATGCAATGTTACTACTTATGATTAAATTTATTTAAAATACCCACAATCACATTCTTATTTTATAAAAAAAGATATAAATATTTTCGTGACCCATAAAAGTGTCTGAGGAAACTCGACACAAATCGGCAGTTAAGTCAGTCTGTACTGGTCGCCATGTGCTATCCTTAGATTTCCGTAGGGGAGTTTAATGGTGGATTAAATTAGTGGGGAGTGCGTCAGAAGGGAAACCTAGCAGCGAGTACCACTTACTTGGATGAGCTGGTGTAACACTGGCCAGTTTTTTGTTAAGCTTGCAATATGTATAATACACGCATATTTAAAAAAATATCTTGAATCTAAGAGTACAATTTTATTTCAATATTATTCTTTTGATTGTAAAAATGTATTTATAAATTAAAATATTTCTTAACTATTATTCAGCAGCAAGACTCATGTCAAATATCAATGTGTTTCGTGGCTTAAGATATTTATCATTTCAAATATATATTTACATTTTTAAATAAACTCATTTTTCTAATAAGCACTTATTAGGTAACAACAACTATATTTTTGATGTTATGTAAATTTATAAAAAAGTTAAAAGTTACTTATATTAGTTTCAAAAAAATGTACATTTTTTTTATACTATACATCTATTATATCTTTATTCATTGATTAACCATTTAAAAATTTATTACATTTTATAAAAATAGCTTGGTAATTGTAAAAGTATAAAATTATATTAAATTCTTCATGCACAATGTTTTATTCTATAAATTTCATTTCTTTTTTTATATTTATGTATTAATTAATTCTTTTTGGTGAAATGTCAGTTCGTCAGATTCTAATAGCGTTCTTAATTACAAAATTTTCAGATTACATACACATCATAATATTAATACAAAATTTTTATATTTATTTTTGAATTCATCAATTTTACACAGATAATAAATATATGAAAGTTTGAATTTGAACATTTAGTATTTTCAAATTAAGGTACAAGGAAAATTTGTTACATTAAAAAATATTTAAATGTCAATTGTCAGTAAAAATTTTATAATATTAATTTTACACAACTTAAGATACTGTTTTATTTTACATCACATGAAAATATTGAAGTGTGAAACTTTAAGTCAATTGGGTATATGTTAATCACTGTAATAAAATACATAAAAGTTTGGTTTTTTTAATAATTTATTGTACTAAGATATTTTGATTAAAAAAACATAACTTTTTTAACAAATTATTTATTTTAGCAATTATAATTCCAAATTAAGATATTTTTTATCCAATACTTAAATTAAAGTAAAATTAAGCTTAAATTAAAATAACAAATCAATTTATTTTATTCTTGATTAAATTTTATTTGCTAGATCATTTCTAAACTATCATGTTTTAAACTACATACATTTTTTATAAAATCTTTAAATGGAAATTTTCCATAAATGGTAAAAATTTTACATTGAATAAATAAAAGTTTCTATAAAAAATTACTTGTCAGAATAAAACATAAATCTTACTGGTTTACAATTTTAATAACTATGATACATAAAAAAATATATTAATTTTTTTTTTACTTTATATATAAAAAAAAATGCTACCCATTATTTTTATGACAGCAGTCCTTTGTAACTACTTTCACACAATAGAATATCAAGAGATATCAGAAATACTGCAATTTCATGTTTTTGATAAAACTGATAGTAAAAAATTTGCAGATATGCATATGAAATTTGAATTAAAGTTTACTCATAATGCTTTGAAAAAACTTGTAAAAGATGTAGATGACTTAGCTACCATAAAAGATAAGCTATTGAATTTTGTAGAAACTTTTTTTGTAGAAGAGGATGACAGACAAAATATACCATTTCTAGTTACTGGTAGTGATCCAGATTTTGTAAAAGATTTAGATGAACAGCTTAAAGAAGTATTTACGTTAATACATGAGAAATGGTATATTTATGCACGTAGAGATTCATTTAGTAATACTGATAAATTTGAAGAGGCCAATGACACTTTAAAAATTAAATCTTCGGTTGATCAAAATAGTAAAAATAAGAAAAAAGAGATATTTGAACTATTGAAATCTGAAAATATAAAAGAAAACGATTTGTATAACAAAATTACGCTTCCGTTTACTTATTTCGTTCCTGGTGGTAGATTTAAAGAAGCTTATTATTGGGACTCATACTGGATACTTATAGGTTTATTAAGTTGTAACATGAATGAATATGCATTTGAACTTACACAATCAATCGCTTTTTTAATAGATAAATTTGGGTATATGCCAAACGGAACTAGACAGTATTATTTGGGTAGAAGTCAGCCTCCTTTTTTCAGTCAAATGCTGTTAAGACTTTATAATGCTAATATACACCGCGAATGGATACTCGAGGAAGGTCTTGAAAGTTTAGAAAAAGAATACAATTGGTGGATGGAAAATAGACATTTTGATAAAGATTTTAGACTAAACCGATATAAAATAACTAAAATTAACATTCCTCGCCCAGAATCATTCAAAGAAGATTTTGAATTTAGTGATAAATTTAAAGAGCTATGGGCAGGTGCTGAATCTGGATGGGATTTTAGTGCAAGATGGTTTAATGGCGGTGGTAAACTAGAGAACATTAGTACTGGAGATATTATTCCTGTAGATTTAAATGTTTACATGTTAATTACTGAAAAAATTATATTATTTTTGAATGAAAAAAAACTTGAAAAAAAAGAAGCTTCTGCTACCTTCGATACTTCTACGGTTATAAATGATTCAGAAAAAACAATTAACAGTTCTGCGAAAGACCCTAAAGAAGAAGTTAGAAAAAAAATTTTACTGTTTAAAAATTATATTTTAGAAAGGGAATTCGCTATTAATTCAATATTATGGAATCAAGAACAAAAAGTATGGCTTGATTATAATGCAGTTACTAAGACTCATAGCAAGGCTTTCTTTTTTTCTAATATAACTCCGCTGTTTGTGAACATTAAGATGCCTGAAGGCAACTTATATGATATATTAGATATGTATAAAAAAGAGTTATTTAGCTATCCTGGTGGTATTCCTGTATCAAATATAGAATCGGCTAAAGATGAGAATGGACAACAGTGGGACTTTCCAAATGTTTGGGCACCACTGACACAAATGTTTGTTGAATACATGATTAATAAAGATTTTGACGTAGCTTTGCACGTTGCTAAATCTTTTTATAGAAGTGTTTATAAAGGATTGGGCACTAATAAAGATTTTCATGAAAAATATAACTGTTTATTGGTCGGTGAAAAAGGACAAGGTGGTGAATATGAGTCACAGGAAGGATTTGGATGGACTAATGGTACTGTAGCATGGATGATAAAGATTTTTAAAAATAAACTTACAGAGAATGATGACCATAAAAAGTCTTATGAAGATGTTTGTCGTATAATTAGTTCTAAAAAATCGGAAGATAACGAAAGTGTGGTTGATATATAGATAAATAGTATTTTAAATGCAAAAATAAATAGTAATTAAAATAGTAAATAAATAGTATTTTAAATGCACAAATAAATAGTAATTAAAATAGTAAATAAATAGTATTTTAAATATTCTCCTTTTATTAATTTAAATTTTGTTTTTTGTCAGGCCATGTTTTTCATTTTAGGGGCTATTATTCTTACGCCCGTTGTGATTTACACTATTACACGCTTTAATAGGACAGGTGTAGACAATGAGACTATTGATATTTTCAAAAGACATACCAAAGTGAATGTAGATGATATTAATGGACTAATGCTTTTATTGGACGTTTTACTAAAAAACATCAAGATTTTTAACAATTTATTATCCAGTAAAGAAATTAATAATTTAAATAGTTTTATTAAAACAATTAAAAAAGTTTTACAAAATAATTATAAAGATGATAAAGAATATCAGTCAAGATTTCTTGTTTATTATTTTTCAAAAATAGGGGCTTTATATTCTTCCAGATTTCCAGAAATTAAAAGATGGTGTATCGAAATTACAAAATCAAATCCTTCTTTTGCCAAAGAATTTAATAAAGTAGCAAGTAACAATACTACTAATTTAGAGCTTTGTATTGTTAGCCTATTGATCGCATTTGACGAGAAAAATAAAAATATTTAGTTTTATACCCTTAAATGTTGCCTTTCAAAAAGACCCCCAAAAAAATTTTAATTTTAAATAACATCGGTACGCTATCTCAAGACTTAAAAATAAAGATTCGTAAGTTTTTACCAAATTCGCTTATAGACTTTGAAGAGAATGATATTCAATACGATTTAGTTTTTCTACTAGATTATATTTTTAAGTTTAATTTACAGTATTATAAACCTATAAGCGTAGCGGAAATAATTTTTAAAAGACAAACTTTTGATTTTAAGATTTTTGAGGAAGGACTTAGACATTATAGCGATTGTGAGATTCGTAATGGTGTATAAATTAAAATTTTTTGGTAATAATTGGTTTTTTTAAGAAAATATGTTAGACATTCCAAAGTTAAAATTATTAAAATATAGAATATAAAGAAAACCGTGGCATCTTAAATGTCAATACAAAATTTTAAAGTTAATTTTTTTCAGCTACTTAAATTTTTACAGTAAAAGAAATAGTTATAAATAATGAAAATTTGTAAATTAACTTGAAAAGTTTATATTAAAATTTAATATCCATTTTTGTCTTATTTGCAATTAAAAAATGTAAAAGTCATTTTACATCTATTTGTTGTTAAAGTGAAGATGTTAAATGCAAAGTTAACATATAAACTTTAATAATAAATTTTGTGCAATGTTTTATAATAAAGAATAAATATATTATAATTTTTTTTATACTTTAGAAATACAAATTAAGAACAAGTTTCATTGGCAGTTTAAAGTGATATTAGACGTATGATTTTTATTTCTTATTATTAGAAAACTTTACATTTATGCTTTAAAACTTTTAATCAAAATTTGTGATTTTTCTCGTATGTTCATTTTATCATCTTGTATTAATTTAAAACTTTTAAGCAATAAATACCTTTTTTGCAAATAAAAAGTATTTAAAAGGAATTAAATTAACGTAAAAATATTGTATGTTATTTTACTATTATTGTAAAAAAACCATTTAGATGCAAGAATATTTTATTAATTTAAATAGAATTTTCAAGTTATACTTTATTGTTATTTTTTGAACTCTATACTGAGATAAATATAAATGTAACCTAATATCTCAACATTGCCTTTTAAACTGGCAAGCTTTAACTAGCAATAAACAATTTAACTAATTTAATATCTTGCAAATAACGATATTTAAAATATTTTGTGATCAAATTAAAATAATTCATTTATTTTTTTTATTTAAGCTGGTGACAATTTTATTTTACTGCTGCTAAAAAACCTATAAAAAATGATACAAAAAAGTAAAAAAATGAAATCAAGCATTAAAATAGCAGCAGTGACATATGCAATAAAAAACAATTTTTTGTATATTGAATAACAAAGAACTATTGATGAAACTAAAAAGATAATTGTAAATGTAAAAAAAAGAAATATCTAGAAGACATATTAAACTGATTTTCCAGCTTATCAAAAATATCAGATCTAATTTTCTTAAAAGTGGTAATAAGTCTTGTTTTTTTTCTTTGATCCGGATTAGTATTTAAAGCAAATTTAAAAATTTTTAATAATAAAAATATTGTAATAAATTGGTTAAATTTCATATAAGGAGCTAAAATACTTCTACTAAATTTTCAATTAAAGTATTTTTTAAAAATTTAGTAAAACTACTAAAATTTTATTAAATCAAATGGTTAAAAATGCTTACTTTTTTAACTAAAAATAGTATATTTTTTTAATTAAAAAAATATAAATTTAAATGAAAACATCATTTGCCAAATTTAGTATATCTGCTAATTTACATATCATTAGTTTTATAATTATACTTTTTAATTAAGTGCTTTTATAAATTTGACTAAAGGGTATTTTAGTTTCCCAATTTTCACATTCCGTTTTAAAAATTTCAATCACAAAAGAAAAGAGTAAGAAGAGATGATTAAATAAAAAAACGCTAATGCATATCATTGTAATAAAAGATGTTTTAGTATTTTTCTTAGTTTTTTTTTCATTTAACTGATAATCAACCATAAACTTTAAAAAGTTATCAGAACTATCAAAAAATTAATATTGTTATTTTTAATAGACAATATCTATTATAGTACAGTTTGTCACGCTCGAAACTAGTGACCAATCCTTTACAATCGAATAATTCTAACAACTCTAATAAATGCCATTATTTCTCTCCATAAACAATTGGCTTTTTCCTTGATAAAAAAAAGTATTTAAAGAAGTTTTTAATAAACAAAAATATACGTTTTTATGACTAACTTGTACGACAAATCTCTATACATTTCATTTATCAACAACCGCACGTTACCGCCAAGGTACGACGAAGTTGTAATTTAAAACATTTAAAATATTGTTTTTTGTGTAATTTCATACTTCTTTGTTGATTTTATTTTAAGTAAAGAATTTTTAATGGCCAGTAAAAATATAAAGCAAAATACACTGGCTTTGTTTTTTATAATTTATATATTTCTTTAAAAAATTTTTAACAAATTATAATGCGCAAATATGTAAAAATATCTTTATTTTTTGCCTAAAACTAATTTTCTTACGAGTTTGCGCAAAGGGGTTAGTTTTAGACAAAAAATGAAGATATTTAGAATATAATTTACCAAAATTATAGAATCTAAAAATAGGTTAAATAGATACTATAAAAAAGTATGATATTCTGGTATACAATTGTTTCTTACTTGTTTATTGGCACTTGTATTACTCCATATGTACTTACCTCAAAAATACGTAATAACTATGTATCATAAAAAATTCTTTAAAATTAAAAGATCACTGCATATATTAATATTTATCTTAAGTATTTTAAAAAAAACAAAAACCTTCTAAAAATTATGATAGAGGAATATCAAGGACAAGGCAGATGTATCTAAACGTTAGTATAATTTTATTTAGGTATAAGTCATTCTTTGTGCAAAAAATGTTTACAATGGCCTTATTAATAAAATGATAATTTGTATATCCAGTAAAAATCCAAAAAATGTTAACGTGTAAACTTGACGAATTTGAAAAGTAGAATTGAAAAGGTTCATTTATAACTATTAATTGTGTGTTAAGCAAAATCTTTGTTTGGCTTGAAAGTAAGCAAAAAAACTATGTCGACAGATTTTTTGTATTTGACGTTTTGTTATGGATAATTTTTATTAATTACACCTTGCATAAGTTGAAATAAATGACACGACTTTATATGATAGTGTCATCTTAATGTTAAAAATTTAGACGTTTAAAAAAAAATTAGATAAGCTTTAAACTTGACAAACAATTGTATTTTGCGATGCTCGCTAAAAAATAAAATGTATTAAAAAATATTATTAATCCAATAAAAAATTCAAAATATTTAAATACGGTTCAACTTAAAAGCTTCTTTATTAGACCCAAGAACTTTTTATTACCTTACTTCCCCAATATTTTAGTAAGAAATAATAGATAGCTAATAATATGCCATCAACTATCAAGACGACACTAGCTAAATATGCACATAGAAATACTTTTTTGTATATTGAAAATCCAAGAAGAAATGATGCAACTATACTGATGAGTGCAAATGATACTAAATAAACAATTCTAGATTCCACTTTACAAAATATTCTAAGTTTTCGTTCATAAATATCAGATTGGATCTGTAAAGTGCTAGAAGTATTTTGTGTTTCCGTATTCAAATTTTCTTTTGTTTTCATGGTGCATTTTTGTAGATATAACAAAAAAAATACAATCAAATAAAATTTAACATTCATGAAGGGAGAGATAATATTTATTTTATACTTTTAAAAAAAATGATCAAATTTATAAAAATACTTTAAAATTGTTTTTTAATTTTTGTAAAACAAAACTACAATATCTAAAAAATTTGGGATAAAGTTTTAATAAAATGATGCAAAATTTTAAATTTGTTATAAATTTTTGTACAGAATATGATAATATTCTATAAGATATTAAAAAAGATTTAGGTTAAAAATACATAGTTTTTAAGAATTTTTACTTTAAAACGAATTGACGTTTTGAATACCAAGTCATCTTATTATCTGTAATATTATTGACTTTATCATCTGTAATATTATTGATTTTTTGTAGAAATTATGTTTAAATTGCCAATTATTGTATAAAACAACAAGACATATTTTTAATTTAAGGTTTTATTTTAATTAAAAAAATTCACTAAATTCAATCAAAAAAAAAATTTCAAATTTATAATTTAATAATAAATAGATGCTATAAAAAACAAAACAACAAATTTTTTGCTTCTTTAACATTTATAACCTACAATTTAAAATTTTTTATATTTAAAAAATAACTACAATAATAGAATAATTTCCAAAATAAAGCCATTTTAAATTAATTTGAAAAAATTTACTAGTAAAAATCTATTGTGCATCTTTTAATTTATTTGTTTAATTTGCAAGATAAGAATATAGGTTAATTGATTAAAAATCTTTATTCTTAAATGTCGTATATGATATTTTGATAGTACATAAATAATTCTACTTAATTTTTTTGTGTGTAAATAAGTTTATAATTGTTTTTAGAGCCAGAATTGTATTTAATTTATTTACATTCTAAATTTTATAGGACAAAATGTTAATGTAAAAAATTATAACACATTAGTAATAAACAAAATACTTTAAAAGTTTTAAATATTATAAGAATAAACAGGTTGAAGTTTCCTATATATTAGTAAGTTATATAAATCAAAATTTTTGTTAAAGGAATAAATTTTCTTGATTGTCCTTTTTAAAACCAGTAATAAATATTAACGATTCTTCAGCTGTACTTAAAATAAGATCTAATGAACTGATGTTTCTCTAATAAAAATTAATCAATAAGTTTTAAAGTTATTATTATTATTAAAAGCACGATTAATTTTCCTCCACAAAAAGACATAAAATAAACTTTTTTGTATTAATATTTCATCTTAGGCAACCATTATATATATTCTGTTTTAAAAAAAATAAAAGCTTTTTTTGTTTTTAGTAGGTATAAAAATTTTAAAATGCATTAATATAATCAATAGCACATAATTAAGTAAATTGTGGTATCCCACAAGATAGATAAAATAACCAAAATGACTTTCCTTGAATTTTATAAAAAAAATAATTTATGGAAAAACAATAAGTTTCATGAAACAGCAAGATAGAGGGATCACAAGGAAAGAACCCTATTTTATAATCGAAATTTTCGCGCTTCAAGCTAATGACCAATCATTTACAACCAAATGATTGTAACAACTCCGACTACGGCAATTATTGATCCTCTCTACAATCATCGTGCTTTTTCATTGATATAAAAAGTATTTAAAAAATTTTATTAAATAAAATATACTCGCCTTAGTGACTATCCTTTGCAACAAATTAAGTTACATCTCTTTCCTCAACAACCGCACGTTACCGTCTAGGCACGGCAAAATTACTATAATAACAAACATATTTATTCTATATTAGAACATGTACTTCGTTGTGTGCACCTCAATAGAGGGGACGACAAAATTTAATTGGTGTTTGTTTGTTGACTAACAATTTAAATTATAAACATAAAAAATACCCTTATTTAATTAAACAAGCAAAGAGGATAATGAGCAACCGACGATCTAGCCAAACAGATGAACGAAAATTAAATGTAAATAAAAATTTTATAAAAAACTATTGACAACATGCTAGAGATCTTTTATCAATATAGATACTTCATATATATTAAATTGTGCAAAGTTTACAGAAAATGCCTGGAAATTTTATGTTTAACCAATTCACTTAGTAAATATCTACCTTAATTTTGTAAAATAAATAATTTTTTTACAACGCTAACATTATTTTTCCAAGAAGAAAGATGTAATATCAAATCTGAAAGTAATATAAAAATAGTTAACATTATGGGTCTTTTTTTGATAACTGTTGACATTTTTTGTTAAAAAATAAGGGTAAAATATTCTAAAAAAACAGTATAAATTTAAAAAAAAAAAAATTTTCCCTTGTGGACTGTTATCGAAAGAAAAGCAAATTTGTATAGTTTTACAACCCTTTTTGAGTGTGACCCAATACTTAATTTTCTGTATGATCTTCATTTATACATTGCGCAACCTATAAAAAACTGGAAATTTTTAGTATAATGTGACTTTTAAATACTAATGTCTAATATTATGTGTCTTTTCTTCAACCTTTCTATGCCACAAGAAAAGTTTATGCTTTATCCATTTTATTTGTATAACTTTTTATCTTAATGGGAATAGAGATAAAAGATAAATTTTTTTTAACATTGATGATTTAAGAGAGTTTTTAGTTTTAAAAATATTATTCCTTTAGTAATTGAATGTGAAAACTATGATACAAAATGGTTATTAAAGGAGTTAGTAAATGGTTCGACTTCGATTTTTTACAGGTGTTTTAAGCTCAAGTGTCAAAAAAGACAATACTTTATGTCGTTCTCATCCTTTTAACGGATGTTGTGCAGCTGTTTTATATACTAATGCTTGATACGAATATTAATAAATTGTGTCATTTCTTATTTGTATCTGATTCTACTAAGCAAAATATAAATTTTTACTGCTAGATACACATAGGGTTTATATCTAACAAAGGCCCATTCTTTTAAATGGATCAGGTATCATTGTCGAGTTTGACGAGAGAGTATTATCAAGGCGTGTGGTAATTCGGTGTCCTACAAGGACAGACGATATTGTCATTGACACAATTTAATTCCTTTTTGGCATTGATAGAACACCCTCACGAAATTTCTTTTGGTAATAATTTAAGATAGAACTATTTTTACACTTATTGCAGCTATGCGTGGCTTCATAATCGATGGAGGCATTCTTTTTACAAATAGAAATTTATCATATCGGTCTACTGATTATGCTTTGGGAGTAGAACATCATCAGGTAAATCATTCGTTACTATTAAAGGGAGAAAATGGTATACATAAAAACAATATTGAGGTATTCTGGGCGCATATGAAAAGCTCTATGCGAAAGAATACAAGACTAATCGCAGCCATATAGATGAATGGTTAATTCAAAACGCCTTTAAAAGAAGATTTATTATTAGAAAAAGCAAAGAAGAGTTTGCAGAAGTAGTTATTAAAATTTAAAAATTTTGTATCGAAATCATCATCATCTATCATCAATATATATAAAAAGTTTGAATCTAAAAGTTTATTTATTTTTTAACCCTTCCTTTTTAAAAATTATGAGAAATGTTTTTTTAAAGAAATAACATTTTTTTATAGCTATCTTTATAATGGACAGCTTAATATTTTAAATGTATTTTTTTAAGTTTCATTCAATTGTTCAAATTGCAAAATGTGCGCCATTACTAAATTTATTTATTTAAAAAATACAATTATCAAATTTAAAAGGATACATACATAAACAAAGACATATACACATAATTTATGAAAAAAGCATGTATCGTATTCGTGGTCCCGTTTTAAACGGGATAGCTTTAGCTAGTATATTTTAAAAGGTAAGGAAAATTTTTATTAAATTTTTGTTCTTCTTTTTTTGATTTGTAAAATTCTTTGTATTTTTTATTAAAAACGAGTTGCATCAATTAAGGGTTTATTTCTCTAAGCAAAAGCCAATACTTTTGTGCTTTATTCCTTGATTTTATTTAGTTAATAAATCGTATATAAGGTGCCTATAGCAAATTATATCTATAATAAAAGAAATTATTTAGTAATTTAAAACAAAACACATGCATAAAGATTTTTGTGGTCCTGCTGACAAATCATAAACAATACATATGTTTTAGCAGATTATACGGTTGCAATTAATTAAGTCATGTAATCTTAAACATTATTTTAAACATAACTATTTAAGAAAATTATCAATAATAAACATGCAATTTTCTACAGATTTTTTAGCAACAACCAACAAAGATAGAAGATATAACATTAATTTAAATTAGGACAAGCAAAATAAACATATTGAATTTTGTACAAAAAACAAATTTATATTATAGGACACCTTTTAAAAAACGAACATGACTACTGTTTCTGTCATATTCCCTTGAAATATCGATGTTAAAGAGACTTTTAGCGCTTTCTAAATTTTTTTTTTCTTTAAAAAAATTTTCCGTCTGATACATACATTTTAAATTTTCTAAATTACTATAAACAAAAAAAAGCTATTGAATGTTTAAATTTGTATAGATAATTATCTTAAATTACGTATAATTTTAAATTTTGCTTCTACTCCATTTTGACTTTTGTGTTTAGGAGAAAAATATTTTAATAGGCAAGTAAAAATGCATATGTTTATTGTCCACTTACTAAAGCCTAAAACATTATTATGAGGTAAAAATTATCATTAAATTGTACAAGTCTTTAAAAATAAAAATAAATATAATTTTTTTCTTATTTATAATATAAATTACAATATTATTCCATTGTATTTAGCCACATATTTTTATACATATTTGTTCTAACAACTATGACAAAAAATATATATCTAGCTTTTTTAAAAAGTTATAAAAATAATGAAGCGAAACATAAGAAACAAATGTTAAAAAACTTATGAAATTTATAACAAATAAATTAAATTGTTTTTGTAAAAAAATTATATTTAAAAAGTATTTTTTAGAAAAGGGCTATCATTCTGAACATTACAATGTATATAGTAGTCAAAGAACTAAGAAATAAATTTAAGTATCGCAAAAAATTTTGTTGAATATGTCTTCATTTGCCATGTTATTGAAATATTATTTTCTTTTATATCTTTTTAGTTAGCCTTGTATTAGATTAAAACATGAACTAGAATTATACATTAAAAGTATTCTTATTTTTCTTATCTTAGTTAATATACAACTGACGTATTTATACTTGTGAGACATAAAAAATATGTTTCATCTTTGAATCACAACTCTCGACAAAATTAATTATAATCAAATAATTAAGAAACAATTCTGAAATGTCGCAAAAAAAAATTTTATTGTCAAAATAATAAGATTAAATATAATAAACACGGCATTTTTTATTGTAAGTAATCGCGAAAATTTTCAACATCAAAATTAAAAAACTACTTTCAACAATATGAGAATAATTGAAGTTGAAAGAAATATATCAGTATGATTTGCTAGCTTATCGCTTTGGATCTAGCTGAAAATTTAAGACAAAAATATTTTTATACGTGATTATCTGGAAAGATGTAATAACAAAGATCACAAAATCTATAAAGAAAAAATAGACTTTGCCTCCAAATTGAAGCATATATACGGATTTTTAGGCAACTTGGGGCCCATTTAACCTTATAAGCAAATTTTTAAAAAAATACCCCCTAAAATGGCAGGACGAGAACAAAAACTTTTGAATATTTTTACAAATATAATCACAACTCTACCCATTTTACGCATAAGATGTAATTCTAATAGTAAGTTATATAATAGTGAGAGATTTCTTCATAGGTTTACATGGTTGAAGTGTAGAAAAAAATTTTCACTATTAGAAAATACACCATTTTATTATAAAAAGCTGGCTGTAATAGACGTTTTATTAATAATTAAACTTTGGTCTGCTAAAGCTAAACAGACAACAATATGTGAATTTCTTGAACTAGGACAAAGATTTGTAAGAAAAGTTATCTAAATACCATCTTATGCATAGAAAATAAAGTTTATGAAGCAACAGGGAAAATAGGAGGATCTGGGATTATTGTAGAGATAGACGAGAGTAAGTTCGGAAAAGTGAATTATCATCGAGGACACCGCGTAGAAGGTGTTTGGGTCTTCGGTATGGTTGAAAGAACACTATAAAGAAAAATTATTATGATCTCAGTTAAAGACAGAAAAGCTGCTACTTTAAATGAATTATTACTAAAATATGTCGCAAGGACTCTTTTATACACAATGGTTGTTATTTAAGCTATTCTAGGCTTAAAGAGTATTTTGCAGAACATAAAACTGTTAATCACCCAAAAGAGTTTGTAAACTATATTAATAACTGCCACACAAATACGATAGAAGGAAATTGGCAAGGAGCTAAAAGTTCTACCTCAGCAAGAAGTTCAACCAAAAAAGACATTAATGGAAGTTTAATCAGATATATGTTAAAAAAAATGTTAAAAAAGATTTTTATACAAACATAATAAAATTTATTTTTAGTTAAAATTGCTATTCGTTTTTTTTTAAAAAAAAGGGGTATTCTTTTAAAATTTGCTTATAAGGCTAAAAAATGGGCCCCAAGTGGCCTAAAAATCCGCATATATACATTCCAAAGTGTTAAAAATGACCCCAAAGAGCCAGACATTTGAATCAAGACACCAAATTAAGGCCTGTGAAAAGGAGATTTTAAAATGTAGTCTAAAAACCACAGGAAAGAATATTTCTTATCAAGAAACGGCCAGCTTCTTGTCTAAAAAAATAAAAGAATACAGATAGTTTATACTTAACTAAAATATTAAAAATTACTGTTGGAGTTGTTATAGCCTTAAAATTTTTTTTAAAAAATATTATTTTTTGCAATGGAAAACATAGTTTTCCTATCTTAGAAAACAAAAAAAGCGTATTATAATATTATAATTCCTTTTTTAAAATACTTTATATATCTTTTGTTAAACAAATTAATTTAGATTTATTTTTCATGAATATAAAAAAAGCATTTATTTATAAATTAGTTGCTATAGATTGAAACATTTAAAAAATTATTTGTACAATGTTCTTATGTGTTAAAAAACAAACAAAAATAATTAAAATTTTTGTTTTTTAAATTAAAGGCTTAAGCAACAAAACAATAAATACTGTATTTTGTAAGATATTACTTTTTTATCTTATCTATAGTCAAAATAATATATTATTATTACATTTTTAAACTTAATAAAAATTTATAATTTCCATTTTAAGCATATACCAAATTTAATTTATTTAATGAACGAAAGATTTAAAAAATTTTGTTTGAATTTTAAATAATTTATAAAGACATATAATTATCCATTAGCCAACTTTAATTTAGTTTTTGTAATTTTTATAAAACAATGAACATCAAAACCAAAACATTTATTAAATGACAATGATCAAAAAGAAAATACTTAATTTAAAAATTAAAAATTTTATAAATTAACAAAAAAGATTGTACTTATTTTTTTAAAAGATTAAAATTTACCTTTACAATATAATAAAAACTTAAAAGAAAAAAAATAATTACGATTTTTAGCAAGGCCATGATGATGGGCAAAACTAACAAGAAATAAAAAAACATTTTCTAGTAGTATAATTAAATTTTTGTGTAAAACAAATACGTGCATATGACACAACACATTTTATATTTAAAAGTTAATTTCTATAAATATAAAAAAATAAAAAGGCCCATGCACAAATTTAGCATAATATTTTGGATATCTTTTATTTATTCATTAAAAATAATTTCAGTAGTTCCACAAAAATTTAAAATGTATGAAATTGATTTGCGAAGTAGTTCTCCAGTA